CTCATTGTGTTTGATTTTTATAAGCATCTTCTTGGTTTAAAGATGGGAGTTTTCTCAGGTAAATAGCTCATCTCAGGATCAGAGATGACCTGAAAATCCCAATGCTAAAGCATATTTTGTTGTCCAGGGCCTTTTCTTTTTCTTTTTTGATATTGGGGATTGAACTCAAGTCACTTAACCACTAAGCCAGCTCTTTTTTTAAATTTTGAGACAGGGTCTTGCTAAGTCCTTAGGGCCTCACTAATTTGCTGAGGCTGGTCTCGAACTTGCAATCATCCTGCTTCAGCCTCCCGAGTTGCTGGGATTACAGGTGTGTGCCACCATGCCTGGCTCAAGGGCCTCTTCTTGTGGCACACAGGGAAAGCTTAGGGTCAGGTCATGCTTTGCAATGCCTTGTTTTCCTTTCTGGGTTCGATTCCAAAATTCCAAGCTCGTAGTCGGCAGGATTCGAACCTGCGCGGGGAGATCCCAGTGGATTTCTAGTCTATCGCCTTGACCTCTCGGCCACGACTACGTGGTTCAAGGGCCTTTTCTGATAGGTTGAGGGTGAGATGACAAATAAGATACTTAAAGATAATGTAGCATGCATCCTTGGGCACTAATGGGTAGAGTGGCAAGGGGGATCAAGAAAGTGCTACAGATGATGGGCCAGTTTGGGCAACTGACATGGGGATGGAGGAGGCATGTAACAATCAGTGGCACAGCTGGGCAAGCTGGGAGCTGGATCCTGGCCTTTAGATTTGTTGATGCTGTCCAGTGTCTTTAAACAAACTGAATTAGTCGCCAAAATTTATAACTCAGATTTCACATAAAAATCCCATTTATCAGCTTTCCTGGAAAACCCAGACAATAGGGTGGTACTGGGGGAACAGTGAGCACAGGCTGCTCACTGACAAAGCATCTACCCCCACATAGGCCTGTCTCCCCATGATCTCTACCCATGGTACTACACCGGACCTGTGCCCCTTGTTCAGGCTACAGTATGGTGAGAGTGCCCTATAATTAGGACAAGCAATGTTACCAGATTTCAGGAGGGATAGAGAGCATACTGTGGAGAGCACTGTGAGTGACACAGATGTAGACTTTAAAGCCAGCAGTTCTGTGTCCACACACCAGGCCTGCCTCCTGCCAATCTTTTGCCTGCTAGTGCATTCCCTCCAGCTCCCTTTTCTTCTGATCGAATGGACAGTATTGCCTCTTTCCCTCCTTGTTGGTAGCAAGAATTAGCAATAGCATGTATAGTACCTGCGGTGCCTGATTCCCAAGCTACACCATGGTTGATCCTGTCCAAAAAGTCTAGAGTGGCTACAATCACTCCATTAATTGCCAGGGTTGATTCAGCTGATCTGGCCAGCCAGATGGGTGTCTCCTTCCTCCCTCACGGCTCCATGTGTGTCCCACCCAAAGCTGCACACTCAAAGAGGACAACTATTTCTGATAGAGGATGACCTTTCTTTGGTCAAGAGTATATCAGTAACCACGCTTCCCTGCTAAACCTCTAAACAAGCTCTTGAGATCCAAAAACTCCAGCAACAGGCCTTGGATTAAGTACCTGGAAATTGTTGTTAAAAGAAGCATGGGGGTGCTGGAATATAGCTCAGCTGGTAGAGTGCTGCCTTGCATGCACAAGGCCCTGGGTTCAATCCCAGCACTACCACTAAAAAAAAAATACATATATACACACACACACACACACACATACACATATAAAAGAATCATAGGGGGGCTGGGGATGTGGCTCAAGCGGTAGCGCGCTTGCCCGGGTTTGATCCTCAGCACCACATACCAACAAAGATGTTGTGTCCCCTGAGAACTAAAAAAAAAAAAAAAAAAAATCATAGGGGTGCTGGGTTATGGGTTATGGCTCAGTGGTAGAGTGCCTGCCTGGCATGCATGAGGCACTGGGTTTGATCCTTAGCACCACATAAAAAAATAAGTTAATAAAAAATAAAAGTATTGTGTTCATCTACAATTAAAACAGAACAACAAAAAAACCCATAGGGTTGCGGTGTAGAGCACTTTCAGCAGTAGAGCACTTTCTTGCCTTACGTGTGTGAATCCCTGGGCTCTATACCCAGTACTGCATGTGCACAAGCATGCATGTGCGCGCACAAACACACACGGAAAAAAAGCAGTAACAGCATTGAAAAAAAATAACAGCACAACAAACTCAAACCGAAACCAAAAACTCCAGGTAGACTAAAGTCTAAAAAATTTAAACTCTTTTTTTTTTTTCCTTTTAAACTAAAAGTTGTATATTTAACTTTACTCAGGATGGGAAAAGACTTTCTAAGCATAAAAACCATGAATTAGAGCCAAAAGAAGGTCAGTGGAGTTGACTCTAAAAACTTTTGAGCTGTTCTGTTAAATAACATAAACACAGTTAAAAGGCAACTAGCAAATAAGAGAAGTATTTGCAAAACCTACAACAGAAGGTAACTGTCTTACTGTCTGTGGTTACAGATCTATAGGAAAAACGTTAACATCTATAGAGAAGAGTGGACAAACTATATGAATTTGTCACAATGAAGAAATACAAACAGAAAATTAGATATGTGAATAAAATGTTGAACTGAGCTCTAATCAAAGAACCCCGAGCTTGAATGAGCTGTCATTTCTTCCCTAACTTTTTTTCATCTTTGTCAACTGATAATATTCAGCCAGAAGATAGGTACTACCAAATTTTCCTGTTGGAGTTATCAGTTATCAGCCTTTTCAAAAGCAATTGGGTAGTATAAATCAGGTGCTAGAGTTTAGACCCATTGGCCCAGTAATTCCATTTTAAAAAATATATACTAGAAGGGCTGGGGGTGTAGCTCAGGGGTAGAGTGCTTGCTTAGCACATGGAGGCACTGAATTTGATCCTCAGTACCACATAAAAATAAATAAATAAAGGTATTGTGTCCCTCTAAAACTACAAAAAAACATTCTTAAAAAAAGGAATATATCCTAGATACATATTTAGAGATGTTTTGCCCTCAGTCTATTTGCAGTAACCTTATATTTTCTCTCTTTAAAAAATTCTGGTATATTAAAATCTCAGCATCCAACAATGTGTTCTTTACTGCTATATCCTTAGCACTGGCAAAATGCCTTGAATACCCAAATAGACAAAAAGTATTTGTAAGTTCAGAGAAGAAAGACTATATTCAGACCAAGGAATATTATATAGCCATTTTTTTGGAAATATTGTATATTTAAAGATGTCAAAAAATGCTCATAAGGAGCTGGGGTTGTGGCTCAGCAGTAGAACTCTCACCTAGTATGTGCAAGGCCCTGGGTTTGATCCTCAGCACCACATAAAAGTAAATAAGTAAAATAAAGATATTAAAAAAATAAACTTATTTAAAAATGTTCAGAATGTGTTAAAAACAGTGCATGATTATATAATAATAGACCATTCTCTGTGTGCTGTGTGAACTCTGGATGATAGGATTTAGGTGATTTTCTCTCTTTTCTTGGGCTTTTCCTATCATTTGATTCACTGTGATGAGTGTCGTGATTATCTCTTAAAGAGCAAGACCACACAGGTCTTCTTTGAGGGCTTTGTAACAGAGTAGGAAGAACATTGAACAAGGGTATCATTCATGTTAGTGAGATACATTACTTCTAAATCTAGAAAGAGAAACTATGATGAGGATGAAGCAATAATAATAGTAATTTCTAAGACACCCTTAGGACAAGAAAGGCATGACTCTATGAAAAAAATCAAATCTTTTTCTTTTTCTTCTTTTTTTTTTTTTCAAATGTGAATTACCTTTCAAATGAAAAAGAAAATGCTTAGGTTGCCTATCTGTTGGATGGTTGGTAAGGACATAGCAATCAATAAATGACTGATTTTTCCTATTATATTATTTTTCTAAAGGAAAGGGACTTGGATGATTCCTTGGTGGGACGGAGGTAGAAGTTGTGTGGAGTCTCCGGCATCCCTTAGAAAAGCATAATTGAGCATTCAGATGAACCAACTGTGGTTAGGGAGTGAGGACATTGATCAGAAAAATATAACATGTGTTTTTCACTTTTTCATCTATTGTTTCAAGTGTGTGGAAAACCAACATCATCAACAAACCCACCCCTGTGGATTGTCACCCTAGCAGCTTCTTTTAGCTAGTATCAAGGATAGAAAATCTTTATCTTTAGCGGTGTTTGGGGGGTGTGTTTTGAAGAAAGTCCTTAGTAAATCAGAAGGGTCACAGACGTGTGGAAGCTGCTTAGCCACCATGCTTGATGACTGTGAATGCACTCCTCCAAACGGCCCAACCCGCTTCCTCTGTTGCTTATCCATTTCCCAACTGAGCCTCATACGCAGCCACTCGAGCCGCTACCTGAGCGCCCCTGGACTTTCACCTGGAGGCAGTCTCCACGTATCCCGGTTAAGTTACAGGGCGGTATGGCTGTCTGTGGCATTGGTCTCTTCCCTCGTCTTCTCTCCTGTCCATCTCCTGCAAATTAGGAATGTGCTTTCCAAGCCATGGGTGTTGGAAGGAATAAATAGCAAGCAGCAAAGGGTGCCGTCTCTCGCAGTCATGCCGGTCTCCTTCCGGGACTGAAGCAGGTGGCTCATCCCCATGGGCTTTTCGGTGTGGCTGGCAGCTGTGTTGAATGTAATGTGTTTAAAGCCAACCTGAGGCTTTCTCTTGAAAAATTCTGATCTAGGGACCACTGAGTGGAGTGTGACTCTGTGGAGTGTCATCTTCCGGCAATGCTAATGGTTCCCTCTTGCATTTGGAATCTCTTTCACTTGCCTGGTGCTTTCCAGGTGGAGTTACAGTGCTTGGCTGTTCTGGCCCATGGCTCTCAGCACCCACTCCTCCCCAGAAATGTTTTTGATGTTCTGAGATCTTCACCTCAGAATTGTCTCATGCTGGGCTGGGGATGTGGCTCAAGCGGTAGCGCGCTTGCCTGGCATGCATGTGGCCCGGGTTCGATCCTCAGCACCACATACAAACAAAGATGTTGTGTCCGCCGAAAACTAAAAAAATAAATATTAAAATTCTCTCTCTCTCTCTCTCTTTAAAAAAAAAGGAATTGTCTCATGCTGCAGTTGTTTTCTGTGCTTCATTTCACTTTCCCATTTTAGTATTAATTTATTACTTCCATCCGCATTGCACTCCCTGGTCACGCAGAGGGTAGAGGGAGTCCTGCTTTTAGCTCAGTTAACTTGGGTCTGTTAACTGCCTGTATAGACTAAATTAAGGAGCCTTGAACCCTCTAATCTCATGGACAACGCAGTTCCTTCTGATATCTTTCTCCAGTAATACATTCATCTCCTCTGGCATATTTTTTTCAGAGAGTCAGCTCTGGCCATCTGAGATACAGCTGGGCTGCCCAAGGACAGGGTCACCTTCCCACTGCTCTCTGGTTGGCCAAGTGGTCAGAGGAAAATGTTTTGGTACTTTCTTATTCCTGGAAAAGAAAAAATGGCAGACAATTAAAATCAATCATTAAACCCAAAAGTTATTTCAAACATTGCTTATGTCTTCCGTTTATAAAAATTATGACTATCCTTGACGAAGTCACTGCCAAGGATTGAGCCCTGGAACTTAGACTGTTTATGCAAGTTCATTATTGTTTTGATTTTGATTTTCCTAGGGGAAATCATTGTAAACAGTTAAGTTCTCAGATGCACTCCTACAGTAATAAACATAAACATGCTATAGCACTGAAAAGAATCCCACAGTTACCCAAGTGTAACCCGAGTGAAGCCGCTGAATGGATGGCTCTGGACATGCTCTTGATGCTGCAAGCGAAGAAGTTGTTTAATGCACTCCTCTGTCAGCTGTGGAGGAGGAGGGACACCACCTGCTGATTGCTTTGCAGGCTGTGCAGTGAAGCCTCATGACTGTGTTGGACATAAATTGATTTTGGCCTCTCCAAGAGGAGGAAGGGGAAGTGTACTTTGAAGGCATTTGTGCCCGAAATATTCAGGAATTGCGATCTATTCTCAAAGGCTCAAGCAGCCAGGCTTCATGCGGTCAAGGCAGATCTCTCTTCTTGGAGAAAATTTTGCAGTTGTCTGTTTTCAAAAGAGGAATGTATCTCCACAACAGCAGAGTACAGTGATGTGAGAAGGGCCGTGGTGACTCTAACATAGGTACCGATTAATGAATTATCATAAATCAGAAAAAGGTGAAGTAGAACTCAGCACAACAAGTCTTGATTAAGAAGCCATTTTCACCACACAGTGTTGAAATGTAGAGCACTACTGAAGGCAGAGACAAGGAATTCTTGTATAAGTGACGTTAATTTCCTCCCAAGCCAGAGTGGCTTTTCTGCGTTTTGGGTGGTGATGGTCTTGGAGCTGGCTTTCACACCATACTTACTGTGAGCTGTTTCTAAGAGGTTTACAGTGTCAGCTGAGGCTCACAGAAGCCCTATGTCAACATCCTCATTTTACAAATGATGAAATCAAGGTACAGAGAGGTGAAATAACTTGCCCAGGGACAAACAGCTTGCCCTACAGTCTGGCTGAGAAGTAGTGGTTTCCATCTCTGATTGCTGTCTAGTGCCTCTTACTCACTAAGAAAAACATTCAGCACAGTGAATGCTGTTTTTTAGGATGAGAATGGAGACTACACGTATGTGGAGAGAGTAAAGATTCCCTTGGATCACGGGACCTTGTTAATCATGGAAGGAGCTACCCAGGCTGATTGGCAGGTGAGGACATGCCAACACTACGGATCCCCCTCCTAGAGGCAGTTTCTTAATTCCCAAGTAAGCATGTGGTGAAAAGCAAATTGCTTTTACAATGAGCAGAGGAAATAAGTTGGCCTCATTTTCAAGGAGTTTTAATACTACTGCCATCAAAGTGGACCTCTGCAGATTTAGTGTCCAGTAGGGCTCTCTTTGACCAGGGCAGAGATCTGTGTCTCTGCTGCCCACTGTAGTGGCCATTAGCCACATGTGACTGTTGACCACTTAAATGATTAGGGTGCTAAACAACTGAATTTTTAAATTAATTTAAATTTAAATAATGCCACTATGTTGGACTGTACAGTTCCACAGCTTAGCCACTACTTTCATGTCAGGTCATTTTTAAGGTGTGCATATTATTGTATGAACACTTAGCATGAGAGTGAAGTCTCATACCTCTCTCTGGCCTTATCCATTTATGTTTTTCTTTTGTGATTTGGAAAAATGGCCGGAGTCTGAGAGAAAGAACAACAGTTAGAAGAGATCCTGCTGTAAGGGTGCTGGCATAGTGCGTGGGGTCGGAGACAGATTTGTTTCAGATGGAAAATGTTTTCCACAAACTTTAAAGGGCTTAACACTGTTCTTTGAGACAGGGATAAAATGGAAATATTTCTATATCATCACAAACAAGTTGTAAATCCCTTCGAACTAAAACTGTGTATGTATTTCAGACAGTTATTTACATTTCCATTTAGCATCGAGTGCCCAAGGAATACCACTCCAGAGAACTCAGAGTCAACCTGACCTTTCGGACAGTTTATCCACACCCTTGAGGGTGCTCCTTGGTGATGGAGGTCCTGGCTAGAGGAGCCTCAGTGAGTCCAGCCACGCCAACGCTGAGCAGCCCTTCCTCCGGAAGAAGCTTGAGAGGCTACTCCAGCTGGTCTCATGATGTGGCTGTTTGGAAGATGGTGGCATTGCTTCCCAGCTTGGAGTCCTATTAAATGAGAGCCACCAGCAGTTCATGTTGGTAATATGTCTGCTGTGGGAACGGTTATTCCAAAGCACATCTCAAAATTGCACATTATCTTTAGGCAAATTAAAACTGCTATGGCTGTGCTCACGGATGATTTGGTCCAGAAGCTGCTTTTCTTCTGCCCTCCCCCTGTAATTTGAAGAAATACAAATGGCCTTGTGCCTCTGGGGAGAATCTGCACGTGTTTATTCCTAAAGACATTTGCGAAGTGGAGATACAAATGTACGTCAGTAACTCTGGAGCCTTCCGTAGGCAGACAGCTGCTGAAACCCAAACAGAGGTGGCTTCACGGGGCTTTGTTGAAGTCTGTCTTGGCTCCCTAACATCTCAGCTTGTGTGTTATTGCAGTGGAAAGCTGTGTTTTCAGGGGACACTGTGTTTGACTGAGCCTCGTGGCCTATCAGTCTTCCCAGACCCATTTAGACAGATTCCAGGCCTCCGCACAGAGTGAAGGCAGTGCAGCCAGGCACCAGACTACCTGTAAGACCAGAGGAAACTGTCTCCTTAAGGGAAGGAGTGACTGAGCATGTCGTGAGAAGTAGCAGGCTGAAATTTGGCTGGAGAGAACAAATAGTGACAGCTGTTCCACATAGATTAGCTTCCCCTAGAGAATTACTTGAGTCATTTAAACCCAAGCCAGATCGAACAGGGAGCAGTCCTGCAGGGAATAGACTCAATTACCTCATGGTTCTTTTCACCTTAGATTTCAGTAGTCCCATGACTGTGACTCAGTGTTCCCTTACACCCAAGTTCCCCAGGTTCAAGGGTTAGTCTGTGATGTCACCAGGGTTCCCAAAACAGAACAGAGTGACTGCCCCTTTTTGCATCATAAAAGCACGTGTCTCCTTGATCTCTGGCCCTAGGATCAGTGTGCCACATTAACTCCAAACAAGATGTGGAGCTGAGAGAAAGACAGTCAGTTTAAATGGATGAAAATAGGGCAGGGGAGTCATGTTTCTCTGTCTGCCTGTGGGAAAATTCACAGCGTCTTCTTGCTTCTTGTCCTCTTTCCTGCTGTAAGATCAGTGATCCTGTGATCATGGTGAGGTGCCAGAATGGGCATGCTCTTACCCAGAGCTCGGGTGTGACTCCATGCCTGGCTGGGCTCTGCTCTCCACGGGCTCTCTAGCTCCTTGCCCTGGAGTATGTTTTTTGATTTTTTTTTAATGTGTATAGCTCCTTTTTGTAAGAAATACTAAGTGCTTCACACAATTGAACATCGTACTGTGCCTTCCTGGGAGGAAGGTACAAATCACTGTAAACATAAAATAAACCCTCTATTTAATTCCTAGCTGTTCTCCTATTAAACCCAACAAAACTGCCTGGGGTGGTACAGCCAGTTTTGGTTATGAGTTTGATTCGTGACACTGGGAAATTCTTCTCCTATTCTTTACAAATGAAAGAACTGGCAGATGGTTCCAAGCTTCTATCATCCCCCCTCCTAATGTAGGGTCGCTGTGTCCTCTTGCATGGGCTCTGCATTTGATCCCTTCACTTACCCATGTCTGTCAGGGAGACAGATTCCCCTCTCTGGCAGAAGTGCTGGGCTACCACCTGTTTTCTCCATCAGCAGCAGATCTTACCTTTGGTTTCTTGCTGTCACTATAGACTAAATGTGCCATGACTACCATTAATTTCCACCCCTGAGATAGCATCTCTTCTGTAATGTCAAATTAGTTTTTGCTATAGAATAAAACTGCCAAGTTTAGGAATGGACAGGAATCCCAGACCCTGACAAAGGACAGCCCTACTCAGTGATGCACCAACCTGTTGCAGTGTTTCACTGATAGATCTCATGCCATAACTCGCGTCAAGCTAATTTTGCTAATGTTACACATAAAGCAGAGGAAGCAAGTATGACAGCCATAGCATGAAAAAAAACAGGTTTCGGAGGTGTTTTTAGGCCCCACCCCCACCCTCTTAGCACCAGCAGCCTGTAGGCACTGCCCTAGGAGATTTGATACATAATCCCTGATCCTCCCCCTACCGCTGCAAGAGAGGTACCATTCCCCTTGTAGACATGAGGGAACGCAAAGTTAGTCTAACAGAACTTTCTGTTAACCTGTATGCTGTGTGCTCTGCCTTACTGGATTGAGGCAGAACAGTCAACAAGCATCCCTAAGAGCCTTATTCTAGCAGAGATGGCCACAACCAACCAAAGGCCATGTATTTGTTCCCTGTTTGTTTATTTATTTATTTGGCATAGATGAGCCTTTAATTTATTCATTTGTTTATATGCGGTGCTGAGAATTGAACCCAGTGCCTCACATGTGCTAGGCCAGCACTCTACCACTGAGCCACAACCCCAGCCCCTGCATCTTATCTCTTCTTAATCAATATTAGCATCTCTGAGTCAGAAACTGTGCCTCTAGGGCTGGGGCTGGGGCCGAATGGTAGCGTACTTGCCTGGCATGTGTGAGGCACTGGGTTTGATTCTCAGCATCTCATAAAAATAAATAAAATAAAGGTCTATCAACAACTAAAAAATATTTTAAAAAAAGAAAAATAAAAAGAAACTGTGCTTCTAATACTGGACCAGCAATTGGCCATTTAACAGAAGCTCTTTGATGGGGGGACAGAATCCAATTGCTGGATTTAGATAAATGCTTACTAATCTTCCTGACCATACCAAGCTTGAAACTTCCCAGGCAGGTGAAGTTTTCCTCTTTGATCCCTTCTTCCCTCATTCTCTGTGTGTACCTTTAGGGACCCTGCACCGATGCCTAAGCTCAGTGTGAGGCTTCTTTACAATATTTACCAACATCACCCTCCTAGGCAGCAGACAGCGCAAAGAAACTGGTCAGGCTCCACACTAGGAATGTCTTATTGCCTCCTGTGACACTTAGCAACAGATTGTGTCCTCAGTAGAGAAATCAGGTTCTGCTTTGATCCATGTTGACAAAACCTCTAACTTACTTGGTGATTCCTAATAAGTTTAGGTCACAGCTCATGGGAACCTGCAGTTTCCTTGGGGCACTAGCTCCCGACTGCCTCCCTGGCTGCCGGGCCCCTGCCCTTGTGACAGCAGTTCTGGCTGAACCTGGTCAGGAACTGGCACTACCTTCTGGGCAAGCCATGGCAGAGGGAGTTAAGTAGGCCCTGCCATGAACAGAATGCTCCCACTGGAGGGTTTCAGAGAAATCCCTGACAAATGATGAGTTCCTGCCCTGCTGGGAATATTTCTTCCTTGAGTTCTGGCAGCTTTTTCTTGGCTGCAGAATATCTAAGACCCACTTTGCCTTTTCTGGTCATAAACACTTGTAGTGTTGAATCTGAAGTCTTGATTACTTTATTTTTCTTAACGGTGCCTTTGAAAAATCTGAATGTTTCCATAGTGATGCATTCTGTTTAAATCTTAACTTATACATGATTCCACCCACACTTTCCCCTCCTAGGGACTAGTTTTACTGCCCCTTTCCCTCTGCCTCCCGTTTTCTTCTTGGAAGAAGCCCCCAAGTGAGACCCCTGTCAAATTTGTGCTGCTGGAATCCATTCTTAGATATGATTCTTGCGTCTGGGGGTCAATAAGGAAATGACTTTAATGTTTATTTATTGGAGTGGAGCACAGACAAATGGTGCTTCTTCCAGCTGGTTTAGTAGTCACACACCTGGGTGTTATAAAAGCTGTCCCCAGCCTGAAAGGAGAGCCCATGTCAGGTTGGGCTATTTGTTAGTGTAAACGCTGGGGGCAGGCCAGTGGCAGAGAACAGGCAGGGGTAAAGGAGGCAGTCCTTTTGTAGTGGCACTACTGAGAAGAGTTTTGTCAAATGAGCCCACACAGCTGTCAGAGGTTTGTATTTATGACATCATTGTGAGGATGATTTCAATGCTGTCACTCCCCCTCCTGGGAATTATGATGTCACACTCAGCACAGGGACAGTCCCTATTCTCACATGGCCTTCAGTAGTATGGATGTGTCATTGCTTAGGCAGGACCCTGGCTGGGACAACATTGACCTGTCTCTGGTCCCAAATTCTGGTGTCTATAGGGAATGGGAGGTGAAGAGAGGTCTGGAAAAGTAGCCCTGCTATGGGGCCTGCATCCTAACTCAGGTTATCCCCAGTACCAATTTCAAGAGCTGTTTGTCTTTATAAACTCATGAGGAAATAAAGCACCCAGAGGATTTGTTGGATCCTGGGATCTCATATCTGCGGTGGGCTGCGTGAGCCCTGAGCAGTCTGGCTCAACACTGGTGGGGCCTGGGGCCTCCTGCCCACCCCCCCACCGACAGCCAGCAGCAGGGCTGTAGAGGTGGCCAGCACAGAGCAGCCTAGGGCTGAAGGGCTGTGCTTTTTGGGTCCCTCACGGGAAGCAGCCTCAGAGACTCACTGGCCCCAGCAGGAGGAAGTGGGGGGCTGTGCCAGTGCTGGTGGGCCACATGACTGAGGTGCAATTAGCCGCCCACTGCAGGAAGGGTGTGGGTGAGCACGCAGCCTGCTGCCTGCTGCTAGGCGCTGAGGATCCCCAGCCCGCGGTCCCTGAAGCCCAAGCACAGCCCAGCAGCCTGAGGCTGTATCTTGGCCAAATCGTTCCTGCGGATTGGTGGAAGGCTGCCTGGCCCTTCTAAGAGGCTGCAGCAGGAAGGCACGTCCCAGCCCCTCCCACCCCAGGAGATTGACCCTATGCTCTAATGACCCAGACAGCAGCCTTCCTGGCTTCCCCATCTCGTACTGGAACAGTGCGGTAGGATGGTGCAGGAAGGGAATCCACCCCCTTCAAAAGTGATTCTGGGTCCAGGGCTATACCCTCTCTGCATAAGGGAAGTTTGGGTATTGGCTGGAAGAAGGATGTCCTGGGCTTGCCAGACTATCCCAGGGGTATTCAGACTGCAAAGACCACCCAGGCAGGACTCAGGAAAAGAGCAGAACCCACAGAAGCCTTATGCCCTTTCCTGTGAACACTATATCAAGGGATTGGCCACCAGTTTCTTCCCAGCACTCCCTCTCTCCGACCTTTATCCTTTTTCCCTCTTCACCTGGAGTAAGAGGGAGGTGGGAATAGCTAGCCTAGAGGTGAAAACCCTGGAGGGGGAGTCTGAATGTAGTTCTCTCACCACCCTCCCAGTCCGTTCAGCTTTGATGTAGGATGAGGTGGGCCAGTTTGACTCCCCAAAGCCAGTGAGGGTGCATGTTAGGAAGTGTATACCCATTGAACAGATGAGAATACAGAAGAGTTACCTAGGCAACATCCAGAAAATGAGGCAGCACAGGATAAAGGCCTCTGTCAAGTGTTTCTGCCATGTTCTCAATGCCACTCTGGGAGACCTGGTACAAAGAGGAAACATGGGAGGCAATCCCAGAAGGCCGCAGTGCCTATGGTGCAGCCCTCCAAGAAGTCCTATTGATAGTCTTGCCTACCCTCAGCCAGATGGCTGGCAACATGCCAGGGATCCCTGCCACAGCTTGAGGTAGCAGCATCCTGCTTTATGTGGTGCAAGCTGCACCAAATGGTGAGGGGCATTAGCTGGATGACGTCAGGCAAGACCAGTTCACCTGGGCAAGTGGGAATAAGCCTCGTCTTCCAATCAGTGCTGCTTGCAGATGTAGGATTGGGGGCTGTGATACCCTCACCACTACTCCCAGCCTCCATATAGGTCAGAAGCCAGAGGGAGCTTCAGCCTGAGTCAGCTTGGACCAGCCAGTCAGCTTCAAGCCTAAGTTTCCTCAGCCATGAGATGAGAGCAGCTTCCCCTTGAGGGTCTGGCGAGGATTGCTATCACGCATGTCACGTGCCTGACAGTAACATGCTTAGTAATATAATTCTTTTAAGTGCAGCACTGCCCATGCCCTGCTCACCCCAAGCTCAACCCTTGTGCTGGGTGGACAGTCCCTCATGGCTGATGGATGGCCCTGCAACGCTGCCTTGTACTTGGCAGGCTCCCCTGGTGCATGTGCCTCTGTTGCAGTCAGCAAGGTTGGGGGCGGGGCAGAGGCTCTCAGGAGGACTGCCAAAATGAAAATGGTGCCCAAGTGGGGCTGATCCTATTAAGATACAGATGCACTTAACCTCGCCTCGGAAGTTCTTTAGATCCAACCGAAGAGCGCTCCCAGATGCCAAAGTGGTCTCGCACTGATGCTCAGCTTGCTCTTGGCAGGCCGGCCACATGCTCCCCTCAGGTAATTGGTCTCCTAATGCACCATCCCTGGCTGGATTCCAGAATTCCACTGCCTCCTCCCCTTGAGGTCAGTTCTTGACGTCTCCCAGCCCAGCAAGCAGGTCACCAACCAAACAGACTCAGATGCACTCCCACCAGCTGGTCAGTGACTTTTTCTTTTTCTTTTTTTTTTTTTTTTGTGCTTGGGACCATTTCTAACTGTACAGAACGCCTTGGCCTGGAAGATTAAATAAGATTGCCTGTCTGGAATGCTGTTCAAGACCAGGGCTTTTATGTCCAGAGATTGTGTTAGATGTGGTGGGGGAGATATAAAAGGAAGACACAATCCCTTCCATTGCAGATAGCAGTAAACCAATGGGGCTTTCATTTTCTTTTGCAAAATTAGTTTTTTCTCCTTACACAAAAGGATTGTGTGTTCTTTGCAAAAAGTTAAAAAGATAAAATGAAAAATTGTAATTTTATAAGCCAGAAATGACAAGTTTTCACAGTTTGCAGTATTTTATCCTACACATTTGTGTACTTTAAAAAGTTACATCACAATTTATAGTCTTGTAACCTTTTTCTTCTTATGTAGGTTGGCAGATGACATTATTTTAAACATCACTTTGAGAGGCTGCATAATGTTGTATCTAGTAGTAGTATTATTTAACCAGTATTGAGATTGTAGTGATGTTGGTTGTTTTTACTATTAGTGACCATTTTGTTTGGAAATTATGAGAGTGGACCATGAGAGGCAGATAGACGCACAACTCAAAGTTCACACCCTGGCCTCATTTGGACCTCAATTCAAACAATGAGAACAGGTGACACTCTACAAAGCTGAAATATGTGTCAGGCACTGGTATGAAGTGCTTTCTGTGTACTAACACCTGATTTACTAATCCTCAGGCTGAGGACAAGCTGCTGCTTTATCCCTACTTTATCTTTAACTGAGGAAACTGAGGCATGGCCTAGCAGAATGGACACGTAGAGCTGTCCTTTAACAAAAACTCTGAGTACATCTGAGACTGCTTCTCACAACCCAAAAGTGGGCTTTCTGCCTAATCCCACAGGCTGTGCATACTTGAAGGCTTTGGGTGCATAATACTAATGGCTTTCCAGAAAGGGCACTCACTTATTGCCCTACATCAATGTTGGAGCACATCCGAGAAACTGCCACGTTCTTTGACACTCCCTGCTGCGTGGAGAACCTGCCCTGGGCCTGACCCAGAGCGAGGAGAACTCAGTCCATTGCAGCCCACATTCCATTGTCATTATGTTTTGTATCGTTTGTTGAAAAAAATCAAGACACAGTTGAAGATGGACAGTAACAAATTTGAAAGGACGGTTTGTGACAGTGCAGCAGGAGTCACAGCAGAACATGAAAGCTCTGTGGGGTGGCCAGGGAAGGCTTCGTGGAGGAAGAGGCACGTGGAGAATGGGGAGGAGGATCCTGCACAGTGGTGGCTGTAACGCTCATGAGCAGGGAGGGGCGCCACATGGCCTGCTTTTGGGGCTTATGTGGGAAGAGATGGTGGAAGGAGGGTGGGCTGGATCAGGCCAGAGAACCTGCTCGGGCAGGGGGCTTCGCAGCGGGAGCCAGTGAGGGCTTGTGGTGAATTTTAGAAAAATGGATGTATCGGGTGGAGGGAGGGTGGGAGACTGGAGGTAGGAAGACCTGAGGAGACTGTGCTCTGTGGCCTGGTGGGCCCCTCTGGGAATGGTGAGGACAAAGATGCTGGGTCTCCTTGTGCTGGTAACATCCCTTCTTCCCATGAATTCCAAAGAGAGAAAAACATGGGACTTGGCTGCAAGGGCAGAACATCAGTGTGACCAGTGGTACAGCTGGGCGGGAGGCCATGGCTTACACAGGGCCAGTCAGGCCTCTTGGTCCTCCCTCACCAAGACTGGCCCACCAGCTGCCAGATCGCTGCTGCCCACTGAGTCTGCCCGTGGGGACTGGAGGAGCTGTCCTTCTAGAAGGTGGACACTGGCCCTGCCCGGGCACCCTTCCCCTCATGGTGGTCACAGGAGCTGAGCAGCATACACGTTTCTGTGGGCAGGTGGGTCTGAAAGGGGGCAGGACAGGGCCAGATTTCACGTACCCAACACAGTCCTTCTCCCCAGCTCCCCATCAGATAAATCATTCCCTTTCTCTTGGGAAAGAGAGGAAGGGAGGCTGGGGGAAGGATGGGGATTGCCTTTCCAACTCTCTTCCTCCTGGGACTGGAATGCGCCTTTCCTCATTGCCACATAAGGTAGGACCCATACCCCACGCCGCACAGTGCTCCCAGGTCTAAGTCAAGATGCTTCCCAGGAAAGGCTGCCAGGCAGAAGGTGACAGCCTTCTCCTGTGGTGTAAATTTTGGTGCCCGATAAACCTGGTTCTAGTTCCAACTCCTCCACTTACTGCCACATAGACTTTGGCAAATTTCCTAGCTCGAGTTTCCCCACCTATAAAACAGGGTTATTGCAAGAATTGAGTGAGAAGCGAGCATTTGCTGTAGTCCCTGTGGCTGTTCTTAGGGCAATGTGTGGAAAGACCCTGTCCTGGGGACCAGGTGAGGTGGGCTCGTTGGGATCTGCTTGTGGGCAGATCTTACTACTTACTTCTGTGACAAGAGCTGGGGGAGTAGGGCCCAGTCTAGCAATGAATGGGATGAATCTGCAGGGGGGGGGCATTGTGGGGACCAGTGGGAGGGAGGGTAGAGGAACCTGAATCTGGGGTATTCTCACAGGGAGGGGGTGGGAGGAGGAAAAGCAGTGACAAAGGCAGGAAAGGAACAGCTCTGAGAGGAAGGAGAGCCAAAGAACGTTCTGTCACAGCAGCTCAACACAGTGCTGGCCTCCCACCCCGCCCCGCAGAACCTCCTTATGCTAGACTCTCCTCACTCCAGCCAGGGACAACGTGGGTAACAGCTGGCAAGGGAGGTAGTGTCTTGAGGGTAAAAGACAGCAAGAAATCAGGCCTGTGTCCTGGCCACAGGAAACCTGGGACCTCTGTCTTTGGGCAAAACCTTTTCCTGACCTTGGCCTCAGTTTCCCCTCACATAAAACACAGGGCTTGTGTGTGTCTGGATGAACATGCCTGCTCACCATGATAATCACCCAGTAGAAGTCCCCATCCCCTGTTGTTCAGGCCTCCCTCTTCTGAAGAGCTGGGAGAGTGCGTTCCCATAGCCACTCACATGTTAATAGGAAAATACTACAGGGCTTGACCAATTTAATGTCTCGTTGTTTTTAGCTTTTTTAAACTGTAACCCTTGAATGTAAGAGAATAAAAAAGTTTTCACTCATGTGAACGCACAACTGAATCCAAAGCTTCAAGATACAGTATAAGGTGTTGCCTCAGATATTCTGTATTCTCTTATATATGGTTTTTTAAATGCTGGTCATGGTCCCTGAGCTGTTGTGAGGTCGGTTGCTGAGCCACACCCCCAGGTCTGGAAGCAGCTTCCTGGATCATCTACAGGCTGCTTCCTGCTCTGGAAGCGTGTAGTTTTCTCCCATTTCCTGCCGTCTCAAGATTCCACCACCCGCCTTTCCCCAGCCGAGTCTCGTCTCTTCTTGGCTGGGTCTTCAGGCCATGGTTTCCAATCTCAGATGCTGGGACTGTGGGCTGAGGTGACTGGAGGTGCGCTGCTCAGAGAGCCCACCCTCATGAGTTCATGGCTGAGGTCCCCAAGGTCATGCACTGCCTAGCTGTGTGTCTCAAGTGCCTGGGCCTCTGGGAGTGGGGCCCCCAGGCCTTTTCCTGGCATCTCTGTGTGAAAAGGGGGAGTGGGATTGGATGTCATCATTCCCCTCCCCACCTGCTCCAAGACTACTGATTGGACCGGAGGACATTCATCTAGCTGGAAGAGCTGTGGGGAAGTAGACCCTGTTGCTACTTAGAATTCTAGACCCTTCCCCAGTCCTGGCTAGCTCCTTCTTCACCAGTGCTCCCCCTGAATCGCTCCCTGGGAAGGTCCAGGACTCACCATGTGGGAGGTGCAGATGGAGGTGCAGATGTCTGTCTTCAAATCCCAACACCAGCTCTGTCTTGCTGTGTGGTCTTGTGAGTACTCCCTCCATCTCTGAGCTCATCTCCTCAACAAAAGCTTGAAGACAGCAATACTTGTCTCAGAGGATAAACCTAAGGGTGAGATGCATTAATGCTGGGCATGAGGTAGATGCTCCAAAAACTCATTCCTTTATCTCCCATCTCTGCGTGTCCCTTTAAGGGATTGGCTGGGGAAATGGCAGCTACTGCTGCTGTAAAGTCAGAATGGGGAATTGCCCTCCATGGTGGGGCAGCATTAGGGAGAGGCTGTCCTGAGCCTGGTGCCTTAGGCATAGCCCCTCCCCACCCCACCACCCTAAAAGTGCAGGGAGGCCAGGCACAGCAGACACCGCTGGTGTCTGGAGGCGAACATGGCCAGGACCGGAGCAGAAGGGACTTCTTAGGGTTGCCAGAGGTCAAGTAGCTATTTACAAGACTGACTCTGCATCCTGCCCCAAAGCCAGATTTAGAACATAACAGGACATCATTTTGACCCTAATTCTGTTTTTGAGGAGGGGTACCAAGGATTGAACTCAGGGGTACTCAACCAGTGAGCCATATCCCCAACCCTTCTTTGTGTTTTATTTAGAGACAGGGTCTCTCTAAGTTGCTTAGAGCCTCGCTGTTGCTGAGGCCAGCTTTGAACTCACAATCCTCCTGTCTCAGCCTCCAGAGCCCCTGGAATTATAGGCATATGCCATCACCCAGCTTGACCCTAATTGTTGTCAATTACAATGTCTACTCTCCTAAAAGAACTAAGGTTTACTCCAATATCGTCTCATTAATCACCTAATTTGATCCTCATAAGTTTCCCTCCACCCCCAGAGAAGATGGGGAAGGCATGAGACTTCTGCAATCCCAGGATAATGAGAAGAACATTCTAGTAAACATCAGAACCAAGGCATCCAAACAGGCAGTGTTGAGCTGCTGTTTGCTGCTGCTTGTGTTGTTAGCCATCACCAAGGCCACAGAAGTGTTCTGCAGCGTCTCTAGCTCTTTCTCTTTGGTTCCCCCACCCCCACCCTAGTGGTAAATTCTGGAAAGGTGGATTTGCACTGGGCTCAGGGTTGAGGGATGTGGACACATCTGTCATGAGGACTGCTGTTCCAGGGTAGAACACCTTGGAAGATAGTTCTTTGTGGGCTTCTGACTCAGTAGCCACAGCTGAAATCACATCAGCTCTTGGCAGGTGCACATCTGTGGCTCTGAGAGCCCAGGTGACTTGTCCAAGGCCACACAGCAGTGAAAGTCAAAAGACTAGGAGAGCTTACAAGGCTGGGCAGTGCAGCAGGGACTGGAACTGCCTGGGAAAACCTGTGACCCTCTCTCCTCTGTTACTGGCTCCAGCTGCCCTCTGCTCTGTTTTGCTGATAACCAGAAAAATGTCTTTCCAAGGCAGAGACTGATGGACAGACTCCCTCCATTCCTCCTCCCTCCCTCCCTCCCTCCTCTCCTTTCCTTTCCTTTTCCTTTCTTCCTCCCTCCCTTCTTTCCTTTCTTCCTTCCACTAGTCTCACTGTGTTATCCAGGCTGGTCCCCAACTTCTGGCCTTGAGTAATCCTCCTGCCTCAGCCTCCTGTGTAGAGACTTGCACTTTCACTTTGGAACATAAGAAAGTTGCTAGGGTTTGCCAGACACAGTGGCACATGCCAGTAATCCCAGCAGCTCCAGAGGCTGAGACAAGAGGATCATGAGTTCAAAGCCAGCCTCAGAAACCAAGAGGCTTAGCTAAGCAACTCAGTGAGACCCTGTCTCTAAATAAAATACAAAAAAAAAAAAAAAAAAAAGGAGGGGGGAACTAGGGATGTAGCTCAGTGGTTGAGTGCCTCTGAGTTCACTCTCCAGTACCAAAAAAAAAAAAAAAGAGAGAGAGAGAGAGAGAAATAAAATTACTAGGGTTTACTGTGAAATATCTAGTCCTGGCTTGTAGCTTAATTAAAGCAGAGAAATTCCTCAGGTCTGGAGGTTGCAAGCCATGCTTCATGCTAACTAGCCAGGTGAAGTCCCTGGACTTGCATTTTCCTGTCCACATGAGGATAGTGTCAGATGGACCTTCCAGAGAACCAGGAGGCAGTGAGGTTTGGAATAAAATCCAGGACTAGTCTCTAACCTGATTCTGCCCCACCTTGCTGCTTGCTATGTGACCTCCCCCTAGTCCCTCACCTCTCTGGGCTTCTCTGTCTTCATCTCAAAAGACAGCAAAGATAGACTTGCTCGCTAAGATCACCAGTTGTACAAGATTTTGTCCTCAGTTACGGTGATGCTGAGACTGGTGGTCCCAGAAGGGGATGCTCATGCCTCCAAGAAAGGCTGTGGGAAGACTGCACCATGGGCGCTGGGCTTCCCATGCTGTAGCCGCTGACCCTGGGGCAGAACTTATGCCTTTGGAAGCAGACCCTTGGCAGAGAAGTGAGCTTCCATGACTCTCATGAGCACAGCCGGGCCTGCAGGCTGGGCAGGATTCTCAGGAGGTTTCCCTGGGCTCGGCTCCCTCTGAATCCCCAAGAATGTCCCTGCCCCACCCCCAGCATGGTGTTCCCTGGGAATCATCCTGGGACAGGGAGGTACCGGGATGCCTCCGTCAGTGGGAGCAGTGCTGCCATGCCAGCTCCACAGTCTGCCCACCAGCACCTGGTGTCCCCCTGCACCATGGACACCAGATGAGGCGGTGAGCTCATCGCAGCATGAATGGCCACCAGGGTGGAGGTGTTAGAGGCTGGGGGCTTGACTTGGGAGGTGTCTCTGGGGGTCTTCCTGGCTCTGCTCCTCTCTGCCTCTCTGTGCCTCTTGGACCCGCTTCCTCTGTCCCTGCCCCTCTCCCTCTCCTCTTTTTCCTGCTCGTGCACAGACACCCCCTCTTGGAGCTTGCTGGGGATTGTCATGGCAACCCTCCAGGAAAATTATCAAAACACTTTTTATGCTCACAATTGTACCAGACGAAGTGCTAATTCTGAGTGAGGCAGGAGCAGTTGGTAGGATGCTGAAGTCACAGGCTTTGTGCCAAGGGCCCACTGGGGGGTGGGGTGGCACCAGCGGGAACTGAGGGTAGGCCTGGAGGCAGGACACTCAGTAAAGGCCCTGTCACTTATTACCAGAGATTGTTTATTGCTGTCCCTTTTCCACCCCTTGTGCCACATTTACATTTATGTTACACTTGACACATTGGCTGGACCCAAAACACCCAAAGTGCAGATCCACCCAAACAGCACCATCTGGAAAAACTATCCCTGCATTGAATACGTGGAGCTCTGAGACTCACTCTAGGGAGACTTCTGAGTGAGGAGGGTGGGAGTCCCCAACTGATCAAGGCTTCTGACTAGCAGGGGGTCTGGGCCAAGACAGCAGAGGAGCAGGACAGCCACCGTCCAGCCTTCTCACCCACCCCCAGTGGAGAGCAGAGGAGGCCTGTGAGCCGAGACTCTCCTACCTCATCTCTGTCCCTTGACTCCAGGGCTCTCCCAGGACGTACTCTACTCCTCTGCTGCCGTTCTGACCCAAGCCCGGGATACCAAAGCCTCCTTGGAAACAGAGCCTTGCTAATAACTGAAGAACTGGTAGGTGCTTTTTTTAAACCCCATTTCTGCCCAAAAGCCAAAGTGTGGGCAGGGATGGTGGAGGAGGTAGCGGCCCAGGCCCCTCCTGGTCTGCTGCTGTCTTCTACCCCATCTGCTCCCACAGCCCCTCTGTGGAGGCAGTCCTTCCCCCACAGTTACAGCCCGGGCTGCTTGCCACTCTCTGGCCCAAAGGGAAGCATCTACTTCCTGCAAATGGGTCTCCTCATTCCCTGCCTGAGAATTCTAGAATGTCAGAGCTAGTGAATCCAAGTCTGACCTTCCCACTTTACAGATGGGGGAACTGTAGCTAGACATGGGAAGCTACTGGTTCAAAGCCAGAGTGTGTGGTGGTAGAGCTGAAATATGGCGCCACGGTGCCTGGCTTTGAGTCCAGTCCTGTCCCTGTTGAATCAAAGACAGCAGGACAGGCTGGTACAAGTAGTGAGCATGTTCCGAGTCAGGCTGGCCTGGCTTTGTATCTCAGCTTTAGCCCTTAGCACTTAGGGCAACCCTGGCAAGCTACCAAGCACCCTGAGTCCTCATCTGTAAAATGGAGTAAGGCTAGGATTCCCCCCTAGGAACTCACTGAGGATGATTTAGTCAAAAAGCACAATTGGCACAGTGCCAGGAACATAGTAGGTGTTCAGCAGCTGATGTTTCTGCAGCCCTGCTGAGAAAAGGGAACATCTTGCATCCCTTTTAATGGCTATCCCGTATTCCAGGGTGAGCAGAGGTGGCAACAGTGCCACAAATGGACACTGACCTCTTCCTGAGTTTCCAGCCTCTGTAGACTCAGCTGGGCCCAGAGACTGACAAGATCCAATATCTGGGCCGCTCAGATCCCCAAATCTTCCCACCCTCCTTGCCCTCTGCACACTACAGAGCAGAAGGCTTTGGCTCTTGGCCTTTGAGAAAGGATTGACTGCGGAGGAGGGGACACCCCCTGAGGCCCCCCGGGGTCACCCATGGGAACCATCACTAACTCTGCCTGGAGGTCCTCCCCTGGAGACATGACCTGGAGCCCACTGTGGCTCTGGCCAGTTCCTCTTTTAAGTTGTGAGTCAGAGGGAGGTGTAAGGCACCAAAACCCCCGGATGCCCTCTGGAGCAGGAATGTCTTGGAGCTTTTCCCTGACATCTGCTTGACCACGCTGGGGGCCAGGAAGGTTTGGGCATGAGATCATGACGCAAAAGGAACTTTTATTTCATGCTGCAGACAGGCTGGGCGTGAGGCAAGGTGCTTTCCATACTGTAGCCATTGACCTCAGGGGCAGCATTTATGCTTTCTAGGGGTGACGTGAGACAGGGAGCGTAACCTGCCCAAGGTCACAGAACCAGTCTGGCAAAGGCAGGTTGAACTCTGTGTTCTCCTAACCTGTGGCCCTTGGCTGGCTCCCGCAGATAGAGGAGGGTCCAGAAGGCACACAAAGGCCAATTAGGATGGGGTCTGGCCCTGGAGACATCAGGAGGCACTTAGGGCAACCCTAAGTGGGGGAGAAGAGGACAGAGAGGGTCAGCAGTGGCAGGGGACTCTAGGCAGTGGGGGGGCTCAGGGCCCATTTCTGCCTGCTTGTTGGTTGGTTCTGCACGCTAGGCAAGCACTCTGCCACTGAGCCACACCTCCTGCCCTCATGTCCTGTCTTTGAGGGGACATTTCAGTCTCTCCCACATCTTACCCTTTTCCCTAGAGTCCCCCTAGGCCAATGACCTTCTGGCTGATTTGCCACCCTTGCTGTGGAGCTCACACTTCTTTTCCTATTTTCAACGCCCTGGGGTGGGGTGGGGGTCTAATCCAGGGGAGTGGAGAGGGTGACTTTGGGTATCCTGGTTCCCTGGCCTGGGAACTTGGAGCCTGGGAGCCGTGTGCGCTATGGGGATCCTGATGGAAGGAAGCAGTGCAGCGCTCCCTGGCCTTCCGGGAGGCATGGGGCAGAGTGAGCATGGCCTCATTCCACAGGACCCATGGACTCCTCTGGGTGCCCAGCTGTGTCCTGGGTGCAGTGCCAATGTTGACAGTCCAGTGGGAAAGGGGTCAGTTCAGAAGTCAACATGAAGACCTTTTAGATAGTGATAAATATGCTAAGAGGCAAAAAGAAATGGAGTGACTGAGGGGCGGCCAGGGAAGGCTTCAGATGTTACTGGGAGACAGCCTTGGAGACCTCAGCAGACAGGCAGGCGAGTGCTTCTCCAAGGCCACATAGTAAGTTCTGGTAGAGCCAGGCTGGGACCCTCCTGCATTCCCATTCTTTTCTTTTTGATACCAGGGATTGAACCTAGGGGTAATTAACTACTGAGCCACATCCCTAGCTTTTTAAATATTTTATTTTGAGACAGGGTCTCACTAAGTTACTTAGAACCTCTCTAAGTTGCTGAGAACTTGCAATCAATCGTTCTGCCTCAGTCTCTTGTGTCGCTGAGATTACAGGTGTGCACCACTATACATGGCGTGGACTCCTGTTCTAATGATCTCCTGAAAACATCCTTCTCTAGGATTCTGTTGTATTCTCTTGGTTCTCCTACGCTGTTTTTTTGTTTTTGTTACCAGGGATTGAACTGAGAGGTGCTTAACCACTCACTGAGCCACATCCCTAGTCCTTATTATATATTTTTTAAATTTGGAGACAGTGTCTGGCTAAATTGCTGAGGCTGGCTTTGAACTTGTGATCCTTCTGCCTCAGCCTCCTGAGCCGCTGGGATTACTGGCATATACCACCACACCTGGATGCTTTTCCGAGTTCTTGACTGGCTTTCCCTCCTCCTGGCATAGACCTGTTCCAGCACCCTGTCTGAAAGATGATCTTGACCCAGTCCCCTGTGTTACATCATCTACCCCGAGTGCCTATGGCCTGCTTCACATTTCTATTTGGATATCTCAGGGATCTTTTAGGATAAAGCTAAGTATGTATAATAAGAAAGTCCCCAAATTATAACAGTTTAAAATTATTCAGTTCATTGTTCTCTCACAGTTCCAAGGGAAGCATTACAAGTAGGTAGGTAGCTCAGTTCCACACGATCATTAAGGGGCCCAGATTAATGGCGGCACTGCTGTCTAACGTGAACCTTCCCAGGTCTCTTCATTATTGTTCTTCCAGACAGTGAAATGGAAAAGCATGGAGCCTTGAGCAGGGATTTCCTCTTGGGCAAGTGAAGTAGAGCTACACACACCACTTCTGCTCACGTCCTACAGGTAAGAGACCAGACATGTGACCCTCACTAGCTGCAGGGGAAGTTGGGAAATGTGACCTCACTAGGTGGATAGCTAACAGTCTCTGCTAAAGCCCACCCTAGTGAACAGTGAGGACCTCCCTGCCCTGGTGGCAGAAGAGACTTGGGGGTGACATTTCTTGTCCTGTGTCTCCCTGGTCCTTGGCTTTGCATTTTCAGAAATTCACCCTTGCCTATCATTCTCTGTGACCACCAAACAGGATGCAAGAGCCTGTCCTTTCTGGATGTGATTTGGGCTTGAACAATCACGGACATTTGTGTTCCAGCCTTACCTTTTTGCTGATGATAACAATTCCTCCACAAACCTGATGGATTTGGGTCTATCTGGTTCTAGTCAGTTCCATGTGCCAGTAACCACACCCAAAGTTCTTTTCCTGAAAGTTAGCGAGTCTCTCTTCCTTGCAACCCATCTCTTTCTTGCTGCCTTACAGTGAAGGCTACCAAGGACATAGGAACCAATGGACCTGGATGACAAGGTCCCTTAATATACGAATTTGCCACAGGGGTGATTTCTTTATTTGGCCTAATATTTTGCTATAATAGAGAGACACTGAGAGAAGCTCTGAGCCATAGTCTGGTCTCCTGCTCTTTGGACAAAACCAGATGGCTTGTCTAACCCCAGTGACACTATTTTCCTGGATACTATTTCTGCCCATCTCTTCTTATAAACTAGCCAGTCTCTTTCTTGTAATGTCTTGAAATATACGAAACATCTTGCATCATGAAATCTTTTTGGCTTTTCCCAACCATTTTTTCTAGAACTGTAGCCTTAGTCGGCATTGTGGCCTGTCTTTTAAATTATCACACATGATGTTTGCAATAAGTATTTTAATCCAGCATAACAAGGATTACCAGCTTTCCGTTTTCCGATAGCTGTTTCCCTGTGGAAACATCTGTTGGCTAAGCCACTGCCACAGAGTTGAGTAGTTTGATCCATGGCAGCTTCTCACTCATGGTGCCAGTTTTAGTATAGAGTCTTGCTAAGCTGCTGTTAGAAGCGGCTCCAAGCCAGGTGTGGTGGTCCCTAGCTGCTGGGAGGTTGAGCTCAGAGGATCATTTGAGCTTAAGAGTTTGAGAGCAGCCTGGGCAATGTACTGAAACCCTATCTCAAATCACAGTAGTTTTAAGATCAGAAAATTGATTTTGATTATTTGTCTCACATAATATGGTTCTGATGTGAGCATTTTCAGCCTCAGCCAAGTGGGGAGTGGGTTTTGATTGACAGTTAGCAGACTTCCCAGAGGTCCTCTTCTCCCCAACCTTCTCTTTTCCTGTCAGTCAGAGGCACCACTATTTAACACTTGCTCAAGCCAAAGACACAGAAGTCAACCTTGACCCTAACCCAAGATACAGCCCCATCTAGTCCATCAGAAATTCCTCTTAGCTCTGACTCTAAATCTGAAATCTAACCATTTCCCTATATCTCTATGGCCTCCACCCTTGTCCAGGTCTTCAGGTGTCTGAGGTCATGTAAATCACCTAAGTGGGTTTCCTACTGTTTCCCTGTCTCCTCTCCACATGCCAGCCAGAGTGAATTTTAAAAAAACACAATTTGGGTTGGGCATAGTGGCTCATGTCTGTAATCCCAGCAACTCTGGAGGCTGAGGTAGGATTGCAAGTTCCACACCAGCCTCAGCAACTTAGTGAAACATGTCACAGACAGGTCTCAAAAAAGGTCTGGGGATTGTGGCTCAGAGGTAAAGTACCCCTGGGCTCAATCCCCAATACAAACAAATACTGTTATATGCAAATGTAATTTGGAGGATGTAGCTCTTCCTCTCAAACCCTCCAGTACCTTAGTAATGCTCTTCTAATGAAATTCTATTCCTTACATGGCCTCAAGGCCTTGCGTGACTGTCCCTACTTCTCATCTCCTTTGCCCACTCTGCTGTAGCCAACAGGCTTCCCCACTGTTCACCGAATGAGCTGAGTGTCTTCTTGTTGAGCACCTTAGTGCTAGGGATGCCTCTGCCCAAACTGTCTCCCCCACTTTTGTCACTCGCTGGTCCTTCCTTGACCTCCACGAGGCAGATCACTTCAGTGTAGTAAGAGCAGGAGCTCAGAAGCCAACAGCTCTGGTACTTACTAGCTGTGGGGCCCCAGTGGCCAGCTGCTTGGCTTCTCTGTGCCTTGGTTTTTCCACCTGCAAAAGATAATAATGTTCTTGTTACTCAAGGGTTTTTGAGAATAAAACAGCAACATTTACGTTAAATGAGCTAATACAAGAAAGCACTCAGAGACCAGCTCATATTAAGCACTTAGTGGTGTTATTATTGTTCTTCAAGTGTCAGCTAAATGTCACCCTCTCAGAAGCCTCTCCCACTGGGCACACTTCTCTCTGCATCCCTGCCACAACACAGCATATGCTCTTGTTTACATGTTCATGAACCCTCCCTCCCAGAGTGTACCTTTCATGAGGGCAGGGCTTTATCTTCTTACCTCTGTTTCTCCCTGAGCCAGTCACACCTGCTCCTCAGTAAGCCTGTGTTGAATGAATATGGAAAGAATGGGGGCCAGATCCCAAGCAGTCCTTCAAGGCTGGTCCCACAAAACTACTTCTAGGGAGCCCCAGGGCAGGGGGCCAGTGCTGCCCTGAGGACCTGGTGGCACTGGTGGGCTGTGGCTGGTGGTGTCAGCTCTCAGCAAGGGGCTAATGTGGACCCTGGAGTCCACCCCACCCGTTTCCCTCAGTTACTAGTGGACTAGTTACTCATCCCCTCTGGGCCTCCCTTTTCTCCTATGGAAAATGAGAGAATAGCAATTACCTCACAGGGCTTTTATGAGGATGAAATAGGATAATTTATGTAAAACGGGGCTCAGGGCTGGCTTGGAGTAAAGCTGTCCAGATGGTAGCTATTATTATTGTTGTTAGTGTGATACCCAGTGCCTTTCTTCAGTGCTTGAATGGGGTGCCCAAGGAACTTGGGGGTGGTGGTGAGGAGACAGGGAAGTCAAGCGAAGTAAAGAGCTGGAATGGAGTAATGGTGTGCGTGTGCGTGCATGTGTGTGTGTGTGTGTGTGTGTGTGTGTACACACGTATGAGTGAGTGCTCGCTCCAGGAAAGGGGGTGGCGAGATTTCTGAGAAGCGCGCTCCTTTCTCCGAGCTCAGCTCTGGGGTGCCGGTCGCCCTGGCTCTGCCAGGAGAGCTCAGAGGCGCTTTGCTCCGGTGCTCAGGACGCAGAACCCACGGCAGAAAAACCAGAGCCTTGACTGTGAGCATCTGGCATTAGGGGGCGGAGGAAGGCACCTGCACCCCCACAGCCACTCGGGCTGGTTCAGATTTGGGGGATCCCAGAACCAGCAGTGCCAGCTCCGGGATGCGGATCCGAGCACTGCTGTCCAAGGCGCAGCTCAGCTCGGCCGCGTGCTCCCCAGATTCTCCCGGAACCCCGCGGGCGGGGCCTGCCTTCCGGAGCCGGGTTGGCAGGGGGCGGGCGGGCGGCGCCGGG